CATCTAACAACGTTATTAAATTAAGAGATAAAGCACCCTTTATAATCTGTAAAAGTGTATACATGTGCTGGTAGTTACTACACACAGAAATGTAAACCCACACACTTTGCAGTGGCCTAATGATTCACAAACCAATGCCTTGTACCTTTAAAACTACAAACGTCTGTACTTTAATTCCGTATTTCCTCAAATAAATAAAAGTAATTTTATAAACTTGTAGCAATTAAGGCAAAACTTTTAAACACAGTGGACTAGTTAAGAAACTTTTATCAATTTCTATGAAACACTGGTCAACAAACTTTGGAACAATCCATCTGAAGACTAGTATCTCCCTACCTAGGACTCCCAAGGATGGTTATGGAAATCTAAAACCTCTATTTTAATATTCTGAAATGCCAAATGGAAGACCTACATTTATCTAATATAAAGCTGTAGAGTTTAACTAAAAAATCACACATTTGCTTTTGTTTGCAAGTCTGTCAACCAGCTAGCTAGATGATAATCAGAAGTGATGAAAAACACGGTATATGCGTGCTAGAATAAGAAAATATAATGAAAATAAATACTAAATAAATATAGTTTATTCATAAGCTCTCTGAAAGTCTGGAATCAGTGGGGGGAAAATAAAACAAAGGCCCTTTAGAATTCTTGAGAAATGGTTGGCAATACTCAACTTGGCTTGTCAAAAGATGTAGAGTGGCAAGCCAGCCTCATTCTACACAGTAATGTCCTTCTACTTCCCTTATAAAAACTCTTACCATCCTTTGAATAGCAATGGGCCTATGCTTCTTATTCTGGTTAGTAGCCTTTATAATGTCATTAACTAATAATTAAAGAAATAGCTCATGTCATTTAAGGAGTAACCCACCCCAAGAGTATTTCTCTTAACTAATGTATTAACCAACAAAATCAAGTCATAATTTTTTCTTAAGCACTTACTATGGGCAAGAGTGTATGTGTGTGTGTGTGCCTTTAAAAAGAGCTCTGAAAGTCCAAAGACTCTCCCTTAATGCACAACTCATCACATCTCAGGATTTCCCAAAGCGAAATACACGAAACTCTGTAAGTATCTGTAGTTGTCAGGGTTATCCAGAGAAACAGAACCAATAGCAAAATTTTTTAAGGAGATTTAATTATGAGGGACTGGTTCACAAGATTATGGAAGCTGAGAAGTCCCACCATCTGCTGTTTGCAAGCTGGAGAGCCAGGAAAGACAGTGGTGTAATTCAATCCAAAGGCCTGAGAATCAGGGGATCTGATGGTATAAATCCCAGTCCAAGGGCAGGAGAAGATGAAATGAAATGTCCCAGCTCAAACAGTGATGCAGAAAAAAGGGGCAAATTCCTCCTTCCTATTGTTCTACTCAGGCCCTCAAGAGACTGGATGGTGCCCACCCACACTGGGGAGAGCAATCTACTTTAACAAGTCCACCAATTCAAATCCTAATCTCATCCTCATCCAGCTGCACCATCACGGTGGTACCCAGAAATAATGTTTAATGTGGCACCCCAAGGCCAATCAAGTTGACACATAAAATTAACCATCACAGTCTCTATGCAATTTGACACAAATTCTAACACATTCTTTGACAGCAAATCACCTATCAAAAGCTATAAGAAGTCCTTTTTAACTTCCTTTAGGCAAATCTTCCAAATTTATTTAACTACAAAATTTTACTCCCTTAATTATTAACCTGGGACCTCTAAAAGTGCAGCAGTTTATGCCTTACCCATCTGTATCATATTTGTTAACCACAAAATCAAGAATGAGTGTTAATATATAAAAAAATCAATAAATCTAGATGTAAATAACTTAGCACAACTACAATCTTTATGTAACATTTACTAATGCTCCACATTTACACACAACCCAAACAACTACTAAGTTTAAATAAGTACGATTTTTATTCACTATTTTTAAAAGCACAAGTGTCAACAGGCTGGTAACTGGTTTTTATGCACAACCTCTAGAGTATGCCACAGCAGTGGTGCAAATTCAGCATATTTTCCTACATCTTCTATAACTTTAGTTCTCTATAATAATACATGCTCAGAAATAATAACCCCAGTAGCTTTTTTTTTTTTTTTGCGATATGTGGGCCTCTCACTGTCGTGGCCTTTCTCGTTGTCGGACGCGCAAGCTCAGCGCCCATGGCTCACGGGCCCAGCCGCTCCACGGCATGTGGGATCCTCCCGTACCGGGGCACGAACCCGTATCCCCTGCATCGGCAGGCCGACTCTCAACCACTGCGCCACCAGGGAGGCCCCCCAGTAGCTTTTTAAAGTGTGTGTAATGAAAATTCACTAATAAATATTTCATTATATTTGAATGTTGTGAAAATTCAGATTAATTGAAACAAATTCTCAGGTAAACATCCTATACCCTAAGTCTGATATATGGAAGTTCACTCCTATTTTAAAAAGAGTGGGTGGGGCTTCCCTGGTGGCACAGTACTTAAGAATCGCCTGCCAATGCAAGGGGACACGGGTTCAAGCCCTGGTCCAGGAAGATCCCACCTGCCACAGAGCAACTAAGCCCATGCGCCACAACTACTGAGCCTGCGCTCTAGAGCCCGCGATCCACAACTACTGAGCCCATGTGCCACAACTACTGAGCCTGCCCTCTAGAGCCCGTGCTCCGCAACAGAAGCCACAATGAGAAGCCTGCGTACCGCAACAAAGAGTAGCCCCCGCTCTCCACAACTAGAGAAAGCCTGTGCTCAGCAACGAAGACCCAATGCAGCCAAAAATAAAAAAATAAAAGAAAGATAAATTAAAATAAATAAATAAAATCTCTCAACAGAGCTGAAAACTATTCATAGAGAGGAAAATGGTCAGAGTTCTATACTGAGAGTCAGGAGATGAGATTCTAGTTTTACCTTTGCTACTAATAATTGTTTGGCCTTGGATAAGTCTCTGGGCTTCAGTTTTCTCATCTATAAAATGACTACTCACAACCATAGATGAGATCCAAGTGCCATTTAATGTGGGCCTTACTTGGGAGAGGTAATCCAGTGTAGTGGTTAACGATAAACTCAGCAGAGACTGCCCAGGTTGGAATCCCAGCTCTTCCACTTAAAAGCTACGCACAGTGCGCACACGCGCACACACACACACACACACACACACACACACAGCAATAAAGCACATCTAACTACTATCACTGACTTACTGTTTAAAATATTTCACCAAAAGATGAAATTATTTTAAAATACAGAAGCTTCAGGGAGTTCCCTGGTGGCCTAGCAGTTAGGATTCCGCGGCTTTCACTGCCGTGGCCCGGGTTCAATCCCTGGTCAGGGAATTGACATCCCGCAAGCCACGTGGCACAGCCAAAAAATAAAATAAAATAAAATAAAATATAAAATACAGAAGCTTAGAAAGTTTAGTCTTTCCAAATCAAGACTCTCATTTTACTAGCAAGCACTGAGTTCATGTGAAAGCATTACAACTCTTCAAAGGCTGCTGACCTAAGCCAAATTTAACCAGAAGATTATCTCATAAAATACTGTACATTAGCAACACCACTGAAAATTTATTATAAGGCTAATTATTCCCAACAAAATATCACACTAAAGATAAAAATAGAACTTCTGCTACTTGCCTTTTTTTTTTAACCTAATACTGCTAATGACAACACAGCTTATGATATACCATAATCTCTGTGAATAAAATTAACCATGGGAATAAAATTAACTACAGGAATGAAAAAAATAATCAGTAGAATTCAGAAATATAAAGTGAACTACAAACTACTAGAAATAAGTAGTTCATGAGTTAAAAATCAACCAATAAGTATTTACCAGGCACTCCTACACCCGGCTGTGTGCAGATTAAGTACAAATACCAAAGTATGAAGTTCCTCAGAGTTAATAAGGCTGGAAAGGCAAGTCCTTTATTATCACATTTTCACACAACAAAAGCCACTCATCTACATTTTTATGTCCTAGTTAGCCCAAGTAGGAATACTTCCCATTGCCCATTAAAATTGTTTGCTATCCTTAGTTCAGCCCACAAAGATGCCCAAACTAGTCCCTGACAGCTGACACTGGAAGCTTCACAGGACTTAAAGTGAGTATAGCTTCTAAGATATTTCCTCAAATCCACAAGCTTCAGAATTTATCTTCAATAACACCCACACTAACATATACCACAACACATAACTGTTAACTTAAGTCAAGTACCTACTTACAACAATTTCGTCCTTCCCCTTAAAGTACTGCTAGTAAAGGCAAACTGCTTCTTCAAAAAGTCTGCTTTTTGCAATGGTCATCAAGCACTAGAAAAGGGAAATTGATTGGCTAGTCATAGTTGCCCTACTTCCATTTCAGGACCAAGGGAAAAAACTGTTCCACTGAGAGTACCAAGGAAGTCTTAAGCAAATCAAGAGGATAGATGCTAAACTCAACTTTCAGATTCCTACGATTTAAGCGAAAGGTGACAGGGTGTGGGAGAGGGAGGTGATGTAACTGGGCTATCTAAGTATCCCCCTGAGAAAAAGAGGTCCTCTTCATGAAGCAGTCCAAGGTAGGGTGTGGGAAACAAACCGGTCTGGCCGAGTGACAAACCCAGGATGGGGACCGAGCTTGGAGGTGGAGGGCCCTGGAGGCCAGGGACCCGCGAAGAGAGAGACCTCGGGCAAACCGTAGGGGAACAGGAACCAGCAGCAACGCAGAGTGACCGACACTGCCACAGACCAGCGTGTAAGGGGACGCCACGAAGGGAGCGGCGAGTTAGGAGGCAGCTACGGCAGGAGGGAGACCAGTGCCAGGGGCGACGAGCAAGTGGCAACTGCGAAGCACAGGCAGCCGGAGGTGGCGGGACTGTTGAGTCAGCACAGCTCCTCTTCAGGGGGCACTTGTAGGATCCCCGCTCTGCTCGGGCCCCGGGGCCCGCTACCAAGGGTCGAGCCCGCAGGCGGCGGAAATAATGTTATCCGACCGGCAGGCGCCGGCCCCTTCCCCATTTCACAGGTAAACACTGGCCGCCGTCGCCGCTTACCTCTGTTAACATTATTACACCCCAGGGAAGTGAGCTCCTCCCTAGCCTCGCCGCATGGCAACAGCCGTAGCAGGAGCGAAAACTGCCTGAGCCGCCGCCAACGGCGGCAACAGCTCCTTCAGTCCTCTCCCGGGCGGCGGCTTTACTCGGCTTCGCTGGCTTCCCCCCGGCCCGGCAGCTCTCGACGGACGCGCCGCCATCTTGGAAGAGCGACGTCCGCGTCTCCCCGCGACGTGCGCTCCCATTGGCGGGCGCAGGGGCAGCCGGCGTCTCGTGACTGTCGCCATAGCGCCGGCGCGAGGGGAAGCGGAGGCGGGTGGCCGGAGACCCAATCGGCGCCAACTGAAAGGGCCCTGGGGCAGGGCGCAGAGGCCGACTTGGGACCGCTGGGAGGGCAAAGAGGCCCCAGCGCGATGCCGGCCCGGGAGTCCGCGCGCGCGTCCGCGGCGGCCGCTGATCCTCCGCCGCACGCTGGGGTCGGTCGGCCCTGGGATACAGCGAGACGGGCAGAGGCCGAGGCTTCCATGGATGGCGCTGCGGACCTCGCGCGTCTCGGGGACAAGGCGGCAGATGTCCAGGAGAAAAACTTCCTTCTCGCATATCTCCGGCCCCGCAGCGACCCAAGAGCAGGAGGGGGATGTTCGGCTTTCTCCACTGTCTGGGGCTTAAATATGAGCTGAAAGTGCTCCCTGCTCAGCCCCTCTTTCCTTCTAAACTTTGACAGAAACTTTCCTTTGTCCTTACTAGTCCTCAGCGAGTTCTCTTCTGGGTTGCGCGACAGGTAGTAGAAGTGATACAGGCATATCAGCTTTACCCCGGTCGTAGCAGAGTGTCGCTGATTCGGTGTTTGGCCAGCACCTGTATAACAATGAGGGCTTGGTTTTGCTCTTCCTAAGAGACCTCTAAAAAATGTAAAGCCAATTTTACTTTTTAACTGCGGTCTGTACAACTTTACTGGCTTCTTGATACAGTGTGTGCGTGTTTGTGTGTGTGTGTGTGTGTATCATGATGAGCAAACTTCAGCACGTGTCATTGTCAATAGTCCTAACTTAAATGGGACTGAACTCTGGAACGCAGGGTGCATAGAAGCCCCTGTTACTGACACCGTTCTGAACCTAACACTAGGCGAGTTACAGTGTGTGAAACTGAAGGCAGTCACTTCTACCTGAATTGTAATGAAAGTAATTTACCTGAACCTGCTGTCAAAGTGAGTTACCCTGTTGTATGTTAGAAACCAGTTTCCAAGGAAATTGACAAGTAAATTTTCAAATTTGACACGCAGAATCCTTCCACCACTTTTAAGGGGTTACAGAGGCATTTGGGAAAGAAGTTCCTTCCCCTTAACTGGAGTCCCCCCTTCCCTTAACAGTAGTACCATTGTGTAAAATGAAATTTACCTAATACATTACTCTTATATTCTCAAAACATTAAGTAAAGGCATTAGAAACTGTGTTACCTCTGTTGTGTCCTTATCAAGGAAAGAGAATGATTCATTTAGGTAGAAATTCAAGGTAGATCCTGATTTTACTCAATTCAACTAAGTGAGGCAAAGTAATTTTGCTGCTGTTTTAATCTACAAGTAATACATAATTTTCATATTACTGGGCCAGCAAAATTCTGACCTCTGCAACAGAATAAAATGTATTACAGGGATTGACAGAATAGCCATGAATAGAAAATAAGATTGGAAAATACTCTCTGGCCTAAGATATTAAGGAAACGAAGAGATACTAGAGACAACAAGGAACCTGGAAAAAGATAACTGTTCCAACCTATAAATAAGAAAACAGAGGAGGCTCATTAATATTTAAGATACCAACTAGTAAATTAAAACTAATTTTGGTGTCTGGCCTATTTAATTTTCTTTTCACATGTTTTTCCCATTCCAGAAGGAAGGCATTTTCACTTATTTTAAAGGTGATAAATTAAGTGTAGGCACAACTTGAGGTTTGTACCAACCTGTAATGACATGGCTATGCTTTTAACATTTAGAAGTTTGTCCGTAGACCTAGGAGCAAGCCAAAATCATTAGCTCCAAGTTTTCTCAGCCAGAGTTCTTTCTGTGACCTAAAAAACCTTGTTATCTAGCCTCCCCAGTCCCATCCCACATCCACCTCTCTGACCTCATTTCTGCTAAGCACTGCTCCTATAACAGCAAGGCATCCTCTAGCCCTGGGGCCTTTGCACTGAATATTTATCTGGAAGGATCTTTCCACCAGGTACCTGCATGGCTAGATCTCTCACTTCTGTTCCGTCTTTGCTCAAATATTACCTTTTTCAAGGAAGCCTATTCTGACCATCCTTTTAAAATGTTGCCCCTACCCCAGTGTCCTCCTAAAATACTCCCAAGGAAAAGGCCTAATTAAAAATGAAAACAGGGCTTCCCTGGTGGCGCAGTGGTTGAGAGTCCGCCTGCCGATGCAGGGGACACGGGTTTGTGCCGTGGTCTGGGAAGATCCCATGTGCCGCGGAGCGGCTGGGCCCGTGAGCCATGGCCACTGGGCCTGCGCGTCCGGAGCCTGTGCTCCGCAACGGGAGAGGCCACAACAGTGAGAGGCCCGCGTACTGCAAAAAAAATAAAATAAAAAAAAATAAAAATAAAAAAAATAAATAAATAAAAAATAAAAATGAAAACAAAATCCTTTGTGTTGAAAGAATGTTTTTTTTTCAATTGACCATTGTGTGTTCTTATCTTGCAATTAATGGGGGAATTACTTTTACTGTCACTAGAATGCCAGAGAGAAGTTTATGACAGAATAGTAAGCTGAGCCTTTCCCTTAAGCTTATATTACTGCTGACATTTTCAATGGTGATAATGGGATGGGGGGATAATAAAGATAAAATATGTTTAGAAGAAAAGCTTTCTTGGGCTTCCGTGGTGGCGCAGTGGTTGAGAGTCCGCCTGCCGATGCAGGGGACACGGGTTCGTGCCCAGGTCTGGGAAGATCCCACGTGCCGCGGGGGGGGGAAAAAAAAAAAAAAGAAAAGCTTTCTTATGTATATATACATTGGCATGCGTCAAAGTTAATTTGCTAGCAAGGGAAGCAACAAAGTAAATAAGGTATGTCATTTCAGAGATTTGTGGAAGTTGGGAAAGAATGCTTATAGAAGCAGCTAGCTTCAAAAAAAAAAGTAAGCATGTAATTTGGCACAGATTACAGTTTCATACCACGTGGTCGTAAAAACATCCTATTAGTTGTTACAGAGGAAACCTGGGACAGGCTGACCTGAGATGCCACGTTCTTTGGCTATCAATCAGAAATTTGAAACAAAACAAAACTATCCATCTTAAGAAACACATGATAAGGATACATCTGTGGTTGTTATTGCAAAAGGTTTGATTCCTCAACAAGCAGTGTCCAGTCTAATTAACACAGGAAAGGATGACAAAAAGAGTTCAGAGGCAAAAATCAAGTGTGTGATGCTTTTAAACAGGCCACTGCCAGTGATTTCCAAACCTCCGAGCAACAATTCCAAATATCCAATTTGCCTAATTTTTAAATTTTAAAGCAAAGAAAAAAAATTCAGCTACATATTCAGGTTGTCACATGTTGACTATAATCCTTTTTGAGAAACTGTAAAAGTATAGCATCAATCTCCCAAGCAAATTGCATCTATCAAACAGTTGTCACACTTAATCTTTTGGTTTCTTAAACCATATTATTAACTCCAGTTTCTTCATAATGCAATGTCATCAGTGTCACCTACCACCTGTACTGAGCATTAAATAGTACCATACATTCATTAACAAGGTCCAATATCACAGCCAGTTAATCAGTATTAAAATAATGCATTGGCAACAGAGAAGACACATTCTAAGAACAGACAGCAGAAGGATGTCCTGATTCTTATAGCTTTAGTATGACAACAGTAAAGCAGAAATTTAAGGCATTTAAGAGTGTTCTGAAGTCTAGCTTCAAATAGCTCAGCAGGTGCTTTTTTCTTACACAGTATTTTTTGAGGAAATACTGAGGCAACGCAAGACTAAGAGAGAAGCAGTAATAAGATGAAGTTTTGCTAACAGCAGATGCAGCCATAAAATAATAATATTCACAAGTCCACAATGGTACCAAGATCTCAATAGAAAGGACCATATTACAAATATGTAGAGTCTGTAGTGTATTTCAGAGATTTTACTAGATCACTGACAGCCCCAGTCAATAGTTTTTAAAACAAGCATTTTTACACCATAAAAATCAGCACTTTTCAAACAGTTAATTCTCAATTTTGAATACTATTTTTCAATATATGGGCCAGGTGCTGTGGGAGGCATTTCGCATAAATTGAACAATTGAAAAAGACCATCATAGTAGATTTTATTACCCTCCAAGACGTGAGTTTAGTAACATTCCCCGGATCACCTATCAAGGATACATGCTATCAACAAGATCTTGATGCTGACCTCAGTCACCTCCTCCTCTTTGAGTATAGATCTACATAAATTATTTCAAATTATTTTGCATAGGTGACTTGTCTCTTCTCCATTTTTTATTGATTCAATCATTTCTTTATATGCGTATGTACTCATAGATATTTATTTTATACTTTGGGTTAAATCCAATACTATTTTATTTGGTTGCTCAAATTGCCTCAGCTTTGGCCACTGGGAGCTCTTTCAGTTGTCCTATGTCCTTTTAATATAATCCCATCAATGTGGGATGGTTTTTTGTTTGTTTTTGTTTTTGAGTACTTCCTTAATTTCTCATACTACAAGGTACTTCAGGCTCGTCATACCTCTGTCCTAGAATCAGCCATTTCTCTAAGGAACTTTGGTTCCTTTACTGGAGAATGGTATTAGAAACCAAGATCTGTTCTTGGTTTCTAGAAACTAGGAACCCATCTAAAAACTAGATGTGTTCTTTGCTACTGGTGGTGTCCTTTCTTTTCAGCCCTTGCAGTTAAGAAAACCAGGAAATATATGCATGTACACTAATCTATGTATATACACCTATCTATATATATTTCTGTATGGAACCATCTGTACCTATATTAAACTAAACACAAATTCATAGTGATGTCTACAACCAACTCTAACCCATCACCAGAAGGATCATTCTAGCCTCCTTCCTTGGCTTGTCTGCAAATTTTCACTCCAGCGGTGAGAAACCTGATTCCTACTATCAGCCATCCATTTATTTACTTGTTCAATTTCAGTATGCATGTATAGCTGTATCAGAATTGTTAGCCCATAACCCCTTGTGAAATCAACTAGAGTACAG